CTGGCCTTGAACTCACAGAGATCCACCTGCCTCTGCCTCCCAAATGCTGGGACTAAAGGCGTGCACCACCACACCCAGCTAGTTTCTTTTTTTTTAAAATGAAGATCTCATGCAGCCTACATAGGCTGGCCTAGAACTTCTTATATTGCCAAGGGTGGCTGTGAACTTTCGATCTTCTTGCCTTCACCTTTCGAGTGCTAGAAGGATGGATGTATTCACCATACCCAGCTCTAAAGATAATGTATGAAGGAGGCTGGAGAGATGGCTCAGCACAAGGTGCGGCTCCTCTTACAGAGGACCTGGGTTTGGTCCCAGCATCCACATGGCAGCTAACAACCATCTGTGACTCCAGTTCCGGGGATCAGGCTCCCTTTTCTGACCTCCACAAGCATTACATGACACAGATGCACTTACATACATGTAGGCAATATACTCATACACATAAATTAAAAATAATAAATAAAATATTAAAAAAAGAAATTCCTTTATGGTGAAGACACATGGGTTTCTTACAATAATGTTATGTCCTTAAATTTTCATCTTGTTAATCTAGTTGCCAAGTATAGTTTTTCCAAGTTGAGGAGGCTCATGTTCCCTGCCATCTTCCCACTGCGAGAGAACCACTAAGAACGCTTTGCCAGGTTCTTACCTTGAAGAAGGTCATTGTTGAGCCATCTCTGACTGCCCCGTATTCTATCTTGGTTTGCTTTGCCAGATCATCTGCAGAGTCGATGGGGGATTCCATCCTCTCTACTGTCAAGAAGGCAGCCAGGTTGGCAGTATAAGATGAAATGATGATTAGGGTGAAAAACCACCATATTCCTCCAACTATTCTGGTCGATAGAGCTTTGGGCATCAGCTCTGATCCTGTGATTATCATCAGAGTCAGGATGTTAAAAATAATCAGAAAGAAAGAGGAGACTTAACAGCTATCCACTCTTGGAAGGGAGAAAACCTCCTTAAAGATGGTATGAGGATGAAATGAAAGTATTTTCTAGTAATGGAGCAAAATCCTAATGACACTGTCTTCAAGTCATCAGTTATTACTTCTACTTAAAATGTAGCTAATCAGAGTTGATTGGCTTTCAGGTGCTTTTAGACCTGAGATATTCTAACATTTATTTAGTTACTTGAAATTGAAAAGCTAATTCTAAAAATTCTGACCTTATTACCTAAAATGTATAGAATAAAATAAAATATTCTAGGCTTTTGTGTAATTATGAAAAACTTTAAAATAATAACTTTTATTTAAGGTCAAATACTGTGAGAAACTTTCAAAAGATTACAGATCATTTTATTTTATACTATCAATATAATAAAACATGGGGATTTTGCAAATAAAATGAAATATAGCTCATACATAATCATCAGTGAATAAGTCCTGTTTTGTTTTGCTACTTTTAAGGAATCAATTATTTTTTTTCCTAAAGTCTTGTTTGATTGAAATAGAATATATTCTTTGAAAAGTACATATAGATATAATTTTTGATTTATTAGTTGTTATGTATTTGAATATTTTGCCTGAGTGTATGTAAGTGTACCCATGTGTGCAATGCCTATGGAGGTCAGAAGAGGGTGTCAGATCCCCTGGAACTGGAGTTACAGATAGTTGTTAGCTGCCATGTGGGTGCTGGGAACCTAACTTATGTCCTCTACAAGAACAAACCAGTGTTCTTAACTGCTGAGCCATCTCTCCAGCACCTGAAAAGTATATTTTTGTCCTTAAATAACTATTTCTTGATTATACTTAAAAAATTCTGGCTATTTCTCAAGTGGAAAGATGCCCTGACTGGAACAAAGATACATTTTGGGTATCATTTGGATAATATGAAAACCTTCGTCTTTCAAAGAAAGGTTCTATTGGCCAAGCTTTCTTACATAAAAGCCAAGCATCTTGAAAACAGTCTAGCTCAACTTTGAGCTGTGGATGTTTATTCCTCTAGTAGCCAAATCGGAAGGGACTAGAAGTAAGACTGAATTTACTCCAATTGTACTGATTCATGGATAGATTTCAGCTAGGCCATTACCTGAAATTCACTCTTGGTTCCCCAGGTAGCATTACTTCTATGAGCTCGCAGCAAGGCAGAAGTTAGAGGACCAGTTAAAAAGGGGGAGGAGACACCCTCAACTGAAAATCTGAGTGAACTATATGGCTCAGTATGGGATTCAAAGGATCTTTTCTCTGTACTGATTGGATGTTCTGAAATTTTGTAGGTAAAATGGGTTAAGAGGGAAAGGAAAATTAGAGTTTACTCATCTGCAAATAAATGAATGTATGTATAGGTTTAATCTGTAACCAGACACATGCATTACTCATGAAAGCAAAACCAGATCAAGGCCAGTGATAAGCAGATGTAGATTGGCAGGGTGTCTGGGCTTGGAATACAGAAATAGTCTCTTAATAATTTTAGTATCTTTGTGCTTCATTCCCTTTAATGGGGTAAGTGGTTTTACTGTAGTCTATATCTCCTTCTTTTGTTTGTTTGAATTTCAGTGTAATATCACACAAATTTAGAACAGTTTTCATTAAACTGCCTTCACGGATTTAGCAGAGTTAGCATTGCTGTTGTTTGCAGCTTGAGGCTTAATGGGATTTAAATGCCTATGGGTGTGTGCGTTTAAAGCCCAAGGTTGCTTCATATCTTTGTACTCAATTGACCTAGCAGCCTTGTGGCAATGTAATATTATTTTAGATATTTAGGTTTTTTATCATTAAAAAACCATTTATTTTATAAAATAGCCATGGGAAATAAATGTCACATTAATAAATAAATTTTTCTTAGCTTATAAGTACAGGTTTTCTGCTATAAATTTATCTTTATTTTGTTTCATTTATGAAAAGATAAGCTTTCAACTGACTTGCATGCACATAATTATATATTATATCACAGTAGAACTGGACCTCCTGGTTAATAACCAACTATTGACATGAAATAATACAAATTCATACCATTTCAGCTAGAAATAAATATATTTTTGGATGGAATTCTTCTGGAAATTTAGGAAAAATTATAGCAACCTACTGAAATTGCATTTTAAACTCTCAGTAGATGGTATTTATGAAATTTCTTAATACTCTTTTGTTTAAAAATTTTTATATAATTTTGTGAATTTCTTAATTCCTAATGTTAGTTGATGCATTTAGAAATGACTTCCCGAAAGAAGAGGTGATTGGGGAATGCTCAGTGTTCTAGACGATGAGGCTACAAAAACAAAACCAGCATAGCACAGAACACCACTGGAGGACATGGGATGAGACAATACTTGCTGAAGGCTCTTTAGTGCCTTTTATGGCAGACATGACAGCCAATCCTGATCCAGACTTTGCTCAGGTTCTGTAGAAAAGAGAAAGTCTGATCATCACATTACAAAAGAAATGGAACAGAATGGTTTCCAATTGAGTACAACTACAGATCCTGCACACAAGAGAGAGCACAACAGGGGATAGCTAGCTACCTGGTTCAATGCCACGTACTGAAGGCAGATGCATCAAGAGTCACGAGTACCACAGGTTTGTACATGAGTATGTTTGTTGCACCTGACAACTTTTTATAAATTTCTCGAATGACAAGCAGAGTCTGGTTGGGGCTGACTGTCATGTACCCAAGGTAGTGGTAACTTAGACACTGCATCCCTCAGTTTGCTGGGGATGTTGGTAAACTCCAAGCATAGAAAACATGTAAGTGAAGTTTTGAGGCTGGGTGTACACACATGGTAAGAGGCATGTGCCTGCTCATGCTTGGTGAAACTGGTATGTATTTGTTTCTATTCTAGTGGCAGGAGAAGGAAAGCTGTAAGGAATGGGAGGTAGCCCCCCTTCACTGTGAAAGTAATCGTTCACAAGATAAGTACCCAGAAGCATTTAAATGTACTGGGAAAGCAAGATACAGAGTTTAATGGGGTTTCTTGTAGGATTTATAGCTCTGTCTTATGCTTTAAATTCACACCAGTAATTTCTACTAAATCTGGTTGTGTCTATACCTATTCAGCACTATCCTCATAAATTATGCTTAATTGTGTAAAAAAGGGTTGTGCCATGTCTTTAATTATTTGATATTTTCATACAAAGACCCCTAAACGTTTTGTATCTTTCTCTCCTCCCCAGCTTCCTCTCTCTCTCTCTCTCTCTCTCTCTCTCTCTCTCTCTCTCTCTCTCTGTCTCTCTCTCCCTCTCTCTCTGAAAATACAGAATATAAACATTTCGAATCCAGAGGGAAAAACTTGATGTTGACTCCCAAATAACAAGCTTGTTTAATGTATATCCCAGTTGGGTTTTCTTTTGCCAATTTATTTTGCAGCTTATTTTCAAATGAGAAAAAATTCCAAGTAAAACAGCATCTGTGACTTATGATTTTCTTAAATTAATGCATTTAATCTTGGAAGTATTTGCTAGACCATATGCCTGGAGTCCAAGCTGAAGAAAATCCACAAAAAGATGGATTTCTTCCAAAGGTTAAAATAACTTTTCCTTCCCCCACAACAAAAGAAAAATCCCTAAAATAATAGAAAAAAGTTAAATACATTAAGTTTCTTTGGTTTCAATTTCATTTCCCAACCCCTACAATTTGCTGTTACTATGGTTACCAATTGAGGGAGACTGTGAAAAGTTACTGGGAGGCTAAGGTGAATCTCAGCAGGGATAGTCAGAGTGATAATTCAGTCCTTCTAATGACTGTGAGCAACTGGAGGAATCTAAGTAAACTCAGACTTCAAAGGATTTATATTCTATGCCTTTTAAACTTTTGACTTACGAAGTTATAGCTAAGAAGGAAAAGACTGACATGTCTATCCATGCAAATTTGTAAAAAAAAAAAAATTCTAAGCTTCTGTCACGGTTAACGTTTATTGTCAACTTGACTAGACTTAGAATCACCTAGGAGACACACCTCTGCATATATCTGTGAAGGCATTTCCAGAGATATTTAACAGAGGAGAGACCCGCTGTGAATGTGAACAGCACCGTCCCATGGATGGGCACTAGATTTAATAAAAAGGAAGAAAGGAGAAAGTGAGCTGAGTACCGCATTCATCGCCCTGCTTCCTGACTGAAGATGCAGTGTGACCCGCTGCCTCAGGCTCTGACACGTCTCTCCTCCGTGATGAACTGTCCTCAATTATATGCCAGCATAAACCCTTCCATAAATTTCTTCTAGACAGTTATTTGTTGCTAACATTGAGAAAATAACTAACAGGTTCCTTTTATTCTCTGCTGCTTCCATTCTTTGACAGACGTGCTGTTTTAGATACATAGTGAGGACGTCCTATTAGGTCCTATTTCTGTTTTTGTCTTGAGAACTGGCTAGAAAGTCAGTTGCCATTATTTTATAGCCCTGGGTGTTTCATCCCAACCCTCTAGCTTTATAGTGGAGTTTACCAGCATGAAAGCCTGTCAGCAGACTGTGGGATGCAAGTGATAAAAATGGGCAACCGGTGTACCTTGCTGCATGAGAGCTCCAACTCCAAACCAGAAACTGTTTAGCAAAGTGAAATTGTTTTCCACCACATCTGAGTCAGGATTACACGGGTGGGGGTTGTACCACTCGTACGGTGTAAACCTGTGATGGTTAACAGAAACAGCTTGTAAACATCACAGAAACACATGAACGCAGAAAGCTTAACAGTTAGAGAAGAACCATCAAACCAAAGGAGTAAGGCCGTGTCTGCACTTAACAACGCTGGTGGGCAAAATGTGAAAATCTTTGCGCGAGTGTCTACCAGGCTTCTCAGTTCTGGGTAAAGCTTCTTGGTTGGTTATTCCTCAGACTCTATATCTACTGGATTTTTCCTAGTTTTTATTCATTTCCATTTTACTGAACAAATAGACAAACTGAAAAGTTCTCTCATTCCAAGGTTTGACCCCAGTAAGGGGAAAGAGAGCAGCATGCATGATTCAATGCATAAGGATAGCACTGTTGCGTTATGCTGCTAGAAGCTAAGAGACACGGAAAAGCAGAGTGACCCACCCTCTAGGGGTGTCATGGTTTATCTATGGACAGATGCTTAGAGTATAAGCAGTTAGTAATGACATCACACCTCACAGGTGACACAGGCATGAAGGAAAATATCGTGAACAGAAAGAAGGCCTGGATTTGGGGTATGTTAGTTATTTCCAGGATGGTATATGGAAACACAAACCTCAGTCTTTCCATGAAGAGGCAAAATTTAAATATGGAAGGATCATAGCACAGGTGTAGGCATCTATTAGTATTAAATGCACGGCTTGGCTGGGTGGAGGATTTTAAGCTCGTAATTTCTTCTTGATTTATTGTTAATTGAATTGTTTTCAGAACCTTACCCTGCAGTAATTTTTGCTTCAGGAAAGGCAATGAACAGTCAAGGAAGATTATTTGCACAACTGAACTCAACCTCTTTTGCTTCAGTTTACCTATTTTTTAAAATGAGGAAATCTAGACATCTCTGAGAGTGACATTTACCATAAAAATCTGGAGAATTGATTTGAACCCTTCTGATTTTTCTGAGCACCTGACTGATACATGTTACCCAGATGAGGTTCCTACTCCAGGAGTATTTTAAGAGGCTACCCTGCCAAGGGGTGTTTATTTTTCTCCATAGACATCACCAGACATTCAGTAAAGTGATCTGGAATGATCTAAGATGCAATAATTCTTAGCCCTAGAAGCTTTGCCATTTGCCACTGGGTCATTTTAAGGCAAACTGGAGTGTTATTAAAATACTGTTACACTGATGAGAACATATGGATGCTCACCAAGCCATAAGGCTTCTGCAATAAACAATAGCAGGTTGCAGATACATCAGGGAGAACTATGCTTAAGGTGAATATATTATCTGTAGTGAAAAGCAGGAGATGCTGTGAATCATATACGAGGAACTGGGCAGGTAGTTTCTCTTAATGAAAAACCATCCTCTAAACCCCTGGACACCTTCTATAAAGTGTACAGTGTCTTTTCATTGACTCATAGAGGATTAGGATAATAGCATGGCCATTTATTGCATCATAATACTAATAAGTTCTTTCCTGTGGCTTCCCCACAGCTGTAGGGTGCACCATGCCGGTTCCTGTGATGCTTATGAATATGGCTTTAATTGACAACACCATGTCAATACCTTTTAATTACTATTTCAACATTATAATTAAGTTTTGAATTATATAGTCTTATAACAATAGCAGTTTGTTGAGTTGAAGGAAAGAATACAGATATTAATGAACCTACTAATTGAAACAGCATGCAGGATAGAGATGCTGTTCCCTACTATCATTGTCCCTTGTATAATAATTTAACAATACTAATTGCAATAAATTAGGAGGATTATGTATTCAAGAACGTGGGTTTTTCAAATAGACCATAAAACCTGATAACCACCAGCCCCTGACATTCTGCCATTTATCCACTGGATACACTCTGGTTTGTGAGCAGTACTTACTTGGAATGCTGCTTTTAATTTTTTTCAGTATTTCATAGTTTACAATTGTAACTGAGCAGTTAATTGAATTCTGAAGGGCAGAAGGAGGCTATCTAAACATCAGCGTACTTCCCCAGGTCTGAAGAAACTTGCTAGTGCTGTCTCCTTAGGATTCTGAATGACTTGGATGAGGAATGCTGAACAGAGACATAAGGCTGTGCTGTCAGATACTGGCTTCTATAATGCAGAAAGACCTACCTGTTGCCTGGAAGGAAGATATTTCAGCATGAGATTTCTAATTCCTGCTTAAATATAGCCACTGTGACAACATGTCAACATCAGAAGGTATGAAGGAAAGATTACTACATGGTCTGCAGGAATGGAAATCTGAACTGACTATCCCAGGTGACCCTCAATAAGTCAGTGCTGACATGACAGAGAGGGGTAAATGTGCTTAGAATCTATGTCAAAACTTTCCTATAAGATAGCAGCTTCTTGCCAAGCATGCTGGTGCTTTCCTATAATCCTAACATTAGGGAGACTGATGCAAGAAAACTGACTTTAGTGGGAGGCTGGTCTGATTCCATAGGGAGTTCAAGGCCAGCCTGGGGTACATATTGTGATTATCTCAAAACCAAACAGAACAACACAAAGCACAGTATAGTGAGCCTAGCAAATTTATGTTGAAATGTGAAAGTTTATTTTGGGTTAATGTTTATATACACAAAGTTTATGCTGCATAGAAGATGTAAAATAATCCTCACAGTGAAGTTTTCTAATT